GCAGAACAAAAACAATCATCTGAATATTGTAGGGTGAAGAGCTTTGAGGAACTGTCAGGTGGCCTTGGCAGCTACAGAAATTGGATTCAGGGGCAATAATTTCACAATTCCATTCAACAATCTACTCTCTATTTTCCTCTCGTTGTAATGGAGACTGATGTCCTGTCCGGACTTCAGGTTCTTGGTAAAACATACCCTTTCCTCCTCCCCCATAAGAGGAAATACACATCATAGTTCTGGCTTGCAACTATCTCTTCCAAGGCAGTATCTCATTCAGTCCCTACCTGCAGAATTGACTCTTTGTGGATATTTTAAACAAGCAAGGATTTAATTTATGGGCTGTTTCCAGTGGTTCTCTCCTATATATTCCAGGGAGCATGGAAATGAGAGAAAAGCAGAAAAAAGTTCCAAATCTTCCAGTTGGAAACACAATTAGCCCATTTTTCCCACCATGGTTCCTGCATACATAAGCAAGCCTTTGAACTTACTGCCAATAAATAGCAATTCATTGCTGTTCAGTTCCATTTATTGAACAGCAATATACCTATTTGATTTATTTGCATTGTAATATCTGTTTATTCCTTTGTTATTATTTTATAACACAGTACAGTGTAATAAGAATTCATTCAATAATACAAATACTTTACTGGAAAAGAAACACAAAACAGGGATTCTGCAATACACAAAGCAATTACTCCAGGGCAAAATTCCTTGTACTTTCACAAGGCCACTGTACAATTAAATTAATTATGGACTGAAGCCAGAGAAAGTTAATATCTTTAATTGGACTGAAATTATATGATTCAAAGAAAGGCTTCTCCAGGCAGAATAAAAAGGTAGCAGTGAATTTCCAAGACAGTGGTAACAAGGGTGGTCATGAATCTAAATAAACTGTGAAACCATCGGGGGGGGGGGGGGGGGGGGGGGGGGTCGGTCAAATGTCATCTCACATAATGCAGGCAAGATATAGAGTGAACTTTGGATACATCTGTGCCAGCAGCCCTAAAGAAATAAGGTATGGCTTACTATTCAAACTGAGACAAGTTCTTTTGTTCTTCAGATAAATGTGTTTTGAGGTGGAGAAGGGAAGAGTGAATTTCTCAGATCTCAAGTCTTTGTGAACAAAGTGCTCCTTTAGTGATATGGTGAATTCTACCTGGCCATAATTCTGTTTGACACCCTTAGGACCAATGGTAGAGGTGTGCACAATACTGTTTTTCAAAACAGAATCTGGGAATTCTGGCAGTTTCGGAAACCAAACATCTGAAAATGGGATAGATGACAGAGTTTGAATTGACTTGGCCAAAACAGACCACGTGGTGGCTGAAATCGGCTGCTTTCAGTTGCTTTTGACTACATCGTGACAGTAGCCATGTGTGTGGAGTTTTTCTCTCTCTTAGCCTTGCTTGAGCCAATCAGAGCAAAAAAGTGGATCACATGTCTTTTTGCCAAGCTGCTCTATATATACCAGGGCAAGCTCCTCCATTTTCCTCTGGTGTCCTGGCATATGAGAGAGAGATCATGTGCTAGCTAGCTCAGTGTTCTATCTCAGTGCCGTTGCTGCTTAGGATGACTTTTTGAGAATTTCAGTCTTTATCTTCTGTAGTATTTCATTAAATTTTCTTAGTTAATATCTCTATATGAGCCCATTTTTATTTTACTAATTTCACTAGGGAGGAATGGGTGGGCATGTATTTGGGAGGGAGTGAGTTTAAAAGGGACATTTTCTGTGTGGTTGTTTAATTTTTTGTACCTTTTTCTGCTTTAACTTGACTGAGTGTGTGATAGGTTTAGGTAAGAGAGGGATAAACAGACTCCCTTGAGTCCCAATGGGGAGAATATTACTTTAATTTAAATTCCTCTCCAGCCGTATCTTCTGATTTCTGTACATTGTCCTGCACTAGCAGGACCACCCCCCGCCCCCCAATATTTAAAAATTACAAAAATGCCCTTTCTTCTAGCTCACCTTATTGACTCTCTGCTATTCCCTCTCAAGCCCTACTTCTGGCTTGTGTTTACACCTGCACCAGTCCAGCAGCCATCCCTCTTTATTTGTAGAAACTTTAAAAACATCTTTATGCTCAGTGGATGACCCAAACCTTCTGAAACTTGAGGGGCTTGCAGTCATAAATATCTCCTCCAAGTGTGACTATTTTCATCCCCATAGCCCTAAAATAATGGAAAGGGAAGCCTCAGAAGTTCCTCTATTTCCACCAATGCGGCAGATCTTCCTGGAACTAAAACAGAACTGACGGAATATTTTCCCCCTTCCTGAAAAATGGAATGGGGGCTGATTGAAAATTGGAACCAAAAACACTACTTTTTTTTAATTGCACACCCTTAGTAGATGGTTGCTTCCATGTTGGTTGTGTAATGTTCTGGACCAATTTGTGGACTATGGTTCAAAAACCTGAACAACTCCTTAACATTCCAACTAAAATTTGGAGATTCAAGGCTCACTTACATGGAGGTCAGAAGCCACTACTGCTTAGAACACAACAATTTCTTCAGAGATTGATGACTTCACATAACAGACCTGATACTTGTAATATGTTTAATCACAAAGCATTTCAGCTCATGTTGTCCCAAGGTATAGCAGGTGGGGACATCTGTGTTATTCGCTGCCAACTTCTTTAAGAACTTTTGCAGAAGTCTGACTTTAAAATGATCTTTAACCTTTCACCAACTTCAGAACCACAAGTGCTATTGGGTTGCAATTTCAATTATCCCCAAACAGCATGGCAGATAATCAAAAGTGATGGGAGTTGATGTTCAGTAACATCTGGTGACCCACTTTGGTCAAAAACTAAAGAACACCAACCACTATGTTAAAAATATATAGATGGCCCTCTGTATCCACAGAGACTCCATCCATGGATTCAATGGCCATTTGAAGGCAACCATAAAGCTCATGAAAATGGGTTTGACACTATTTATTTATTTATTTATTTATTTATTTATTTAGAACTTTAGGTCTTCTCACCTCCAACAAAGGACTCAGGCCGGTTTACAACTGAGGAATTCATACACAATAGTTTAAAACATCACATTCAACAATACACTAATATAAAACACATTAAAATACAATCACATAATTACATAAGGCCAAGTCATCAGAATAAAATCACTATTCATCCCCATCCGTCCGTGTGGTCAAGAGTTATTGACTCACTCATCAAATGCCAAATTCCAAAGCCAGGTTTTCACCAACTTTCTAAAGGTCAGGAGGGAAGGGGCAGTTCTAATCCCCAATGGGAGAGAGTTCCAGAGCCGAGGGGCCACCACCGAGAAGGCCCTGTCCCTCGTCCCCACCAGACGCGATTGCGAGGGTGGTGGGAGCAGGGCAACCTGATACTATTGCCCTAACAAAATATACTAGCCACAGATATGGTCCCACTTAAAAATTAATCCAATTTAATACATTGTTTAAATTACCCAAAGAAGTCCAAAGATACAAGATTCCTATGTTTCTTGAAAAATGCTGCAAATGCCTAACAAGAACATGAATATTATTGTGTGTATGTTTTCACTGTGATGAAATATCAGTTGGCTAAGATCAGACCTTATGATTATGAGCTGAAATATGAATTATAGAAACTCGGTCTCAGATTTTCTGTTTCTCCTTTAGCACTTTTTTGGAACATCCCCTGCCCCTCCCACTTCCTTTTTCTTGGCTCTCTTTCCTTATTTAATTATGGAGTGTAATGAAATACAAGCTGGCTAAGGAGCCAAGATTTTGAACAGTTGTATACGAATAGAAGATTTCATGTCCTGACACATACATTAACAATTCTTTATTGAACTTTAATGATAAATATCAGATGTCAGCATCTTCTAGGTATTTCCCTTTTTAATTTCTAATCGCACATATAGGCCAGCTCCCATTTCTTCTTTACCCCAGAAGCAGGGTATTTTTGACCTTTTAGATGTTTTCAAATAAAACTGTCACCACTGGTCATGATGGAAGTGGCTTCTCAGAGCTGATGTTCAAAATATCTGGAGAGTGAAACGTTTCACATTCTTGCTTTACATCTGTTTCCCAATAAAGAAGGTTTTTCAAAAAAAAAAACAAAAAAACAAAAACAAATGTTCTCCTAGTGCTTTGAAAAGTTATTATTTTCCATTTCCCCCCAGTAACAAGACATTCCTGCATGTGAGCATACAGACAATGGCAGTATTTAAGGCACCTTCTCAAAATGAAAAAAAAACTGATCAGAAATTATCAAGCTCTTTCCCTCTGAATTAGCTAAAAATAGGAGGTTTTCTTCTTCTTCTCGGGCTACATTTCAGCTCCCAACTGCCTTTCTCCAAATCCCATCAAAATATATGAATGTAGTAGGGGTTAAGAAGGAAAACCACAACTAAAGAGGAAATAATATTTCAGGCTACTTGACTACTTGATAGTGGATATGGTTCATAGAAGAAACTTTCCAACCATCAGATGCCAGGCCACAGGTATTGCACAGTAATATTCTGTACGTATCTACTCACAGATCAGTTTCATTAGGACTTACCTCTGGGCAAGAAAGTATAACATTAAAGGTAAAGGTTTTCCCTTGCCATTAAGTCTAGTTGAGTCCAACTCTGGGTGGTGGTGCTCATCTCCATTTCTAAGCTGAAGTACCAGCATTGTCCGTAGACGCGTCCTAGGTCACGTAACTGGCATGACTGCATGGAGAGCCATAACTTTCCTGCTGAAGCGGTACCTATTGATCTACTCACTATAACATTACTTTCTGGCATAAACTTTTTAACCCCACACCCATATCCATATTGATATTTTCTTGATGTGTAGTTTCACCTGAATTGCTTTATCCCATTGAAGATACAACCCTTCTTTCCCCCATACATACCTTCCCTCAGAAATCTTCAGACTCAGGGTACATTTTCACTATACAATTAATACAGTTTAATTGCCATGTCTCAATGCTATGAAATCATGGGAGTTGTAGTTTTAAAAGAACTTTCACCTTCTCTGCCAAAGAGTGCTGGTTGCTCACCAAACTATAATGGATCCAGTGGAATCCCGGTGGTGCAGTGGGTTAAACCCCTGTGCCGGCAGGACTGAAGACTGACAGGTTTGAATCCGGGGAGAGCGCAGATGAGCTCCCTCTATCAGCTTCAGCTCCCCATGCAGGGACATGAGAGAAGCCTCCCACATGGATGATAAAACATCAAAACATCTGGATGTCCCCTGGGCAATGTATTTGCAGGTGGCCAATTCTCTCATACCAGAAGCGACTTGCAGTTTCTCAAGTCGCTCCTGATACAACAAAAAACAAAAACAAACTATAGCTCCAATGATTGCATAGCATTGAGTCATGGCAAGTAAAGCGGTGTCAAAGTAAATTAAATCTACAGTGTATATGAACCCAAATCCTTTCTAGTCATCCCAAATTATTAGCTGACATTAGGCAGAGGGCCTTTTCAGAGACCAAAACCAGGATTTAGAGCATCTTGCCAAAGAAAGTTCATTTTGACCCTTTGCAAATTATCCTCCGAACAGGGGCGGCTCAACCCATTACGCAAAGTAAGCATTTGCAGTATAGTTGATTTTGCCCAGGGGCGCTCTTGAGGCGCTCTTGGGGGAAAATAGACCTTGACAGTTGCGAGTTGTAGTTACTGGGATGTATAGTTCACCTACAATCAAAGAGCATTCTGAACTCCACAAATGATGGAGTTGAACCAAATATGGCACACAGAACTCCCACGACGAACAGAAAATATATACCTGTGATTGGTTGGGGGCGGGGGGGCATGCCAAAATACTGTTTGCTTACTGTTGAAAATTACCTAGGGCCGCCTCTGCCTCCGAATATTCAAAATATGAACTTATTTCCTCTATTTCTTTTATTTAAGATGACTAAACAATAATTACAATAATAACAACATAACAATAAAACAATAAAAGCAGGAGCACAAAAGCAGGAACAGTTTTGAAAACATGCAACAAATCACTTATGGGTGATTCCAGATGAAGGACTCCTAGCACAAGCAATTTGGAGCCACTGTGCAGCTATTCTGTCTTTCTCCTTGATAGATTTTTCCACAGTAAGGGAAGAGAAGGAAGACAACATGAGCAAATTACAGCTAGAAGATGTTGTTATAAATTTCTGTGAACAAGGCACAGCAATAGCACAACAGAAACATTCCTATGAGTTTGGTCTCACAAAAGGACAATGTAGAGCAAATTATTGCAACTTGTGAGTTCTGGACATAGGAATTGACAGTTAAAGCTTCTACCCCTTGTATTTACAAAAACAGTGATCAGAGCCAGTCTGACAGAGAGCAGCATTTTTTTGTGCTCATAAATGATTTCACTTAAACAAGAAGGCTGCCAGTTGATAATGAGCTTTGCCCATCTGATATGTTCCACTTGGCAATCTGTTTGCATAGCTAATGATTATTGTCATTGTAGCTTTTCCAGAACAGCTTCTGTGTACATCTTCTCCTACTCCTGTTCTGTTATTACCTTGAATGCTGACTTATTTGTTCTCAAATTACTCTTTACCTACTGAGTCACACCATCTGAAGTCATTCCGTATCATTACAAGAATTGGCAGATGCATCTAGGACTCAGTGCTTTCAGTAAAAGTACAAGATCAAAATCAAGTACACTTACCCCTTGTGCCATTTGAGGGGGGGGGAGTGTTGTGGGCAGAAACCAAGAAAACAAATGACCATGGAGACCAAAAAGGCATAATTACAATCAGAACTTTGAAAGGGGGTATTTTGGGGAGCTATAAACCCCACAATGCCCCAGTCTTCAGACCCAGTGACAATGCTGGCTGGGCAATTCTGGAAACTGTTGTTTAAAAATCTACAAATTCATTATCTAGTGTGTAGTTAATCTTTCCTTAACTGATTGTTCTGCTAGACGGAAAGGACGGGGAAAGTAATTCCAAAACATTGGTGGGCTAAAAATGGAAGATGATATAATTTGAATCTCCTGTAAAACTTTGTGAATGATCTGATGCTATCACAAAATAAAAACTTCATCTCATGGTATACAGCAGATCCTTGACCAAATCTACCAAGTTTTGTTTTTTTACTCCCAGTCAACTGAAACAGAAAGTTTGCTCTCAGTGATAGAGAAAGAAAAATATATACTCATGTACAAGTTAACCTCATTGATAAATCAAGGGCAAGGTTTGGGATCAAAATCAGAGGTTTTGATACAACTCATGATAAGTCAAGGGTCATTCCACAGAGAGAGGGGAATATCAGTGCTCCTTCAGGGGGCCAGCATTCCCAGGCCGTTGCTACTGCAGAAAGATAAGCTTGACAGATCTGGCCTTCAGAATCTATATATTGTATATACTCTGCAGTGACATAAATCCTGGTAAACCAGAGTTCTCACCCTAGTAGAAAAAAACATTTAAAAGACGAGGATGTGGGAAATATACACAACTTTGCTCTTTTTGATGAAAAAGGTGTATGAACACACTGAGACACACATATGAGAAAATGTTTAACCTTGACAAGATTGCTCTTGTACTTAAGGAATGTTTGAAAGGGCCAAAATAATGCAAAAGCACTTGTGCCTCTTTTTTTCAGAAACAAGACATTTTGTGAAAACTGAATAATTCTGGGTTTTGATATTTTTGCACAAAACTCGCATTTTGGGAGTAGATTTTTCGCAAGGCAGCACTGAAATGTGGAAAACCAAAAACAAACATACAGAAATTCTTTTGATCACACCCAGCAAGAAAGAAACATTTCAATTATACATTCTTGCCTGTGAGAATGAAATAGAGCAAGATTGAAATCCCTAGCCAAAAATGTTCCTTCTCAGGTTGACACCATTCATGGATGACTCAAGAGACATTGCCAGCAAACATTAGCATATGGCAAGGGTAAAGCTGTCTCCTTGAAGGCTCACTGGCCTCTTCATAAGTTTGGAACCCAGGGAAACATAAATAGTACCACTCGGTTTACATCTGAGTGCTTATTTCGTAGCCTCTATATCCTAATGGTACCAGAAATTGTCAGATCAGCCCGGGTTAGTACTTGAATGAGAGGCCTCCAACAAATATCTGATGCTGTAGACTATATTCCAGAAGAAGGAATTACAAAATACCTCTGAGTATTCCTTGCCTAAAGAAACTGCATGAAATTCATGGGGTTGCCATAAGTTGACAGGTGACTTGCAGACACACACATTTATTCACTAGTACTCTGTTTGCTGAATCGCTCAGTGCTACTCAAGACTGAGAGACATATGTTCTAATTATTTCCTGGCACCTGTCAAGTACTTTGTAATGCAATGTCCCTATTTTGTCCTTGTCCTTGCCTTTTTTTAGGACTAACCCAAAAATTAAATCTCCGGCTAGGAGCAGAGACATCTTGTTTCTTTGAATGCAGACAAACAAATACTAAGGCCCCATGTAGTGCACAGTCTGCCACTTCACACATTGCTCTTTTTTAAAAATGGATTTAGGACAGTTATGTTCTTCAACTACATCATTCAACAAAGAGAACAAATGTTGCCTTGGTGTTTAGTTCGATGCTAGAATTGTGCAGACAAACATAGCACCCAGCAAGTAAATTATGGTTTTCTGTTTGTTTTTCAGACAATGGCTTCCAGACTCCATCTCTACCTATGGTAGCTGGAGGATTCTGGGACCTGCAATCTAAAAAATAATGTATACAGGATCTGTGAAAAGAGGGGAAGTTCTGGTGAGATTCCTTGTATGGAATTTGGGGAATTATAAAATTAGTGCCAGATCATTTCGTGTGTGTGTGTGTGTGTGTGTGTGTGTGTGTGTGTGTGTGTCAGGAGCGACTAGAGAAACTGCAAGTCGCTTCTGGTGTGAGAGAATTGGCCATCTGCAAGGACGTTGCCCAGGAGATGCACTGATGTTTTGATGTTTTACCATCTTTGTAGGAGGCTTCTCTCATGTCCCCGCACGGGGAGCTGGAGCTGACAGAGGGAGCTCATTTGCGCTCTCCTCGGATTCGAACCTGCAACCTGTCGGTCTTCCGGCACAGGGGTTTAATCCACTGCACCACCGGGGGCTCCTTAGTGCCAGATGATGATGATGATTATGATGATGATGATGATAACAACAACAACAACAACAATCTTTATTTTTGTACTCCCACCTCCATCTCCCCAAAAGGACTCAGGGTGGCTTACATGGGTACAAACCTGAACAACATGATAAAAAAGTGTATTAAAATATATAAGGGCAACATAAAACAGAATAAAACAACAGTGTTATAATAAAAATATAAAAGCAAACATCATGGGTTGGGTGAGGTAAGGTTTCATTGGAGAATTTTGCTTATTGTTTGATCCCTTCCTGAATGTGTCTTTACATTTAACCAGTGGATTTAAATGTAAAGATACACTAAGCTGTTTACAAATATAAAAGAATATACACAATAATCAATCATTACAACAACAAAATTGCATCAAATGAAAGCAGGAGCAAACAATGAACCAAAGCAAACATGATCCATGAATAAAATTGCAACAGCAGTCAAATACTTCTTTAAAAAGTACATTAGGATGAAAAAATGTAGCCCATTCTGCTTGGGGATTGTGGGAGTTGTACTCCAAACAAGAAATCATACCAAGCTCTGGTTCAGACATCATTTGAGTGTCCAGCCTTGGTTATTTTTTAATGGGAACAGAGAGATCCCATATGTTTCCTTGTAGAGATAAAAAGTGGGATATAAATAAACATTATTACTATTATTAGTAGTAGTAGTAGTAGTATTTGAAATACAAAAAGATTAGTACACAGCAAACAAAATCACTCTGCTGACTGTTGCATTGGATCACACGTTGGACATTTCCCAAGTGTCTAAGACTGTATGATGTATCGACAAATAATGCGTGAAGATCCCAGTAGGGTGGCCTTTTGCAGCTGACACATGGTAATTTTGTCAGCGTCGATTGTGTTTCAGTGCAGGCCAAGGTCTTTAGGCACTTCACCCAGTGTGCCAATCGTCGTCGTTGTCATCGTCATCATCATCATCATCATTATCTTGTTCTCCCTGTTTATTTCTTTGAACCATTT